GATGTTGGCATAATTTTTTTAAAATCTAAATGCTTACCGAGGCTTTTGGTGTGAAAGATTATTGCCTCGCGTATTCTTGGAACACTTAGCACAGGGTTTTCGGCCAATTCGATTTTCTTCAAATTGTGTAGGGCGGAGAGGACGGGAAGTATTTCATTGGGCTGTGATATATCGTTATGAGACACTGACAGATATTCCAATTGCTCCAAATGTTCAAGGCCGTTAAGTGTGGACAACTTGGTTCGGGACAGGTCTAGAAATTTAAGCGATTTCTTTTGAAATAAAACTATGGATTGAAAACGCGGTTACACTGCACGCTTTCAGGCTGTGATCATCGATAATAAGACTTTCACCAGGCGGAAGACGCTGCAAATCCATTTTAAGTTCAGTCAACTTTTCCAGACATTCTAGGCCCTCGAGAACTGAAATTCTATTTCCTGAGAGAAAACTAATAAAGATAAATATAGGGGGTTTCTTTACAGTTTCTGCAAGTTTTTAAGGTCCTGCAAATGCGAGATCCGTCGAATTTCGTTGTTCTGCAGATAGAGGTGAGTCAGATTGATATTGTTAGGAAAAAGGGGTATGTGATCCATTTTGTTGTCGTAAAGGTAGAGGACTTGCAGTTCGGGGCACAGTTTCAGAATGTCACCCTTAATTATTCAGATTAATGAAATAGTTAAGTGACGCACCATGTCATCAATTTCCTTGTTATCCAAATAAAGATGTGTCATGCGTTTGAGATAATTTTCAATGGATTCACTTGCTGATCGTTTGTTGAGCGCAGACGTGCACTTAAAAAGCATGTGTTCAGTTGCTTTCACCATCCTTCGAAGTTCTGCGGTGAAATAATAACGCTGTTTACTGAGCGACGACGACCATTGAAGAGTTAAAACAAATTCCAATCACTTTTCATTTCCCAATTTGCATAAGGGTCGGCATAGTTATGTCCACCAAATTAAGGCGTGCAAACTTAAAAATCGAAGAAGTAGATTAAGAAAGTGAAAATAGCGCTAAGAGTAAAGGAAGCACACCCCCTGAGTTTACATTTTCCCTCTTGGGTATAGACATCCGTGGAGATCTAATATGGGCATATGGCTTTCAAATTTGAGCCACCCTATTTTTTTAACTCTCCATACACGTGTGAAGTTATTATAAACAGCGTCCTCTCTATTTCTCTGCTTTGTTCGTCTGCATTTATGATCATGAGGTACACTACACTAGTACCTTTTTGAATGCACAGAAAAAAGTTATTTTACCTGCAATATTCCCTAATGGCAGTGTCAGATGCGTCCAATCTGCCGCATTTGCAACTTACCAACGTCGAAAATTCTC